CTCAAAATTCTGCCGTGACGGATATACCTATACGTCCCAAGAATTAGTTCCTAAAAGAATAGGGTTTTTAGTTATTATCCGCATACCAAGGTCAGTGGATATAAATTTACTAATTACTAGCGAGCGTCAAATAGGTCTAAGTTAGAATTGATGGGGAGGTTAACACAGCGTAAAACTTCAGCATGGAATACAGCGCGACAAAGTTAGTCTACGCTGTCAGGAAAAAAAAATGGAGACCTACTTATTGGTATATGTCTAACTAAAATTTAGACTGTGTTTTCTGCGATCTTTTCTCTACAATGTGTATGCCTTACGACCTACAGGAATCACTTTACTAATTCAGTTCCCATAGTAAAACATATACAAACGAAAGATATTAAAAATTCAATAACTTAAAATTTTGGAGGGCTCATGACCAAACTTATATTTATCAGTATAGATGAAACCTGAAAGTCCGCTTCTGTGCAGAGGAAAGGATATGAGCCACTGCATTTTCAGGAGCTGAATATGTTTGAAACATATGCTTTCAATTCCGTACCAAAGAGTCAGGTGCTAATTTTAGTAATGAGTGTTCCAAACGCAAGAATATTAAAGAACTGAAATTTCATCAATAAAACAATGTCTCTATTTTTATTCACTTTTAACTAGGATAAGGTCTCAAAAGAATCATTTTCCTAAAACATAACTTACATTATTAACCAATCCTGGTCACCCAAACCCGTAAATACTCTATTTAAAGTTCACCGATTTCTAGGCTGGTCTCCATTTTTCAATACAATTAGCACCATGTGTTCTACAAGGTAGGACAGAGAAACGTTACAATATACCAAAATAACAACAGAAGTTAGGTCATCTATCATTTCAGATTCGATATCAATCTGTAACTGTAGAATGTATTCAGTCTATGCTCTCGTTCACTTACGTGCGTATATGCTGGATTAATACAGAATTATGTGACCCATGGGTGAAATAAATCTTACGTCAGCGATATATTCTCCAAGCGTCTGTGCTGTGACAAGCTTGCACACATATCAGAAACTCGTTTCCTATAGATGACGAAAATTCGGTTTACTCGATCATATCTCTTAATTTACTCAATCCTCAGAGTTCTTTCCTAATACTTTCAAATCATTAAAACATTTTTGAAAATAAATGTTTAAATTATTTTAATAACACAAACGTCACGTTAAAAAGTAAGGATATTGATAACTACCAAATTAGTAAGTATTTTTTCCTTCAAATTAATATACTTCAACTTTGGGTAACATCACTGATGAAATTAAAAGAAACAGTTATCAACGATTATGTAAATTGAATTCAATATGTGTGTATTTACATTTGTGTTTGCATGTGAAAATATAAATTTACTCCTTTAATTTCCCTGCCATTTGCACTAAGTTTCCAAAGAAATCGCTAAAATAGCTATCCCATTTTTGCTCAGTGTATCAATGTACGTGCAATGGCTTAAAGAGTGTAAAAATACTGTAGCTTCCACAAACCGCCCGTCTTACAGAGCGATACAGTCTTGAATTATTATACAGTTCTGGAAGAATTTCATCGATGTAGTAATACACCCTATCCATGGTAACTGCATACAGACAAGTATGGGAAACATTGTTCGCTATATATATATATATATATATATATATATATATATATATATATATATATATATATATATATATATATATATATATATATATATATATATATATATATATATAATGTTTTCAAAGTTGATTTACGTATATATCATTATTTTCTTAAAGCTAACCACACAATTAGGTATACTCAGTGCATTTTTCCTATGGTCACAAGAAACTATAAATAGATCAAAGAATGGTTTTGTTTCATATCTCGAATAACTTATTACATTATTCAATATTGGGGTTTCCAGATGATGTCAAATTAGTGTCGCTTAAAAAAAAAAACACGACAAATTTAAAGAGATTTTGTCCAATTTGCACGAGGGCATTAGTCACACACACACACACACACACACACACACACACACACACACACGTATGTAGGTAGGTAGGTAGGTAGGTAGGTAGGTAGGTAGGTAGGTAGGTAGGTAGGTAGGTAGGTATTTTTTTACTGGCTACTAGCCCGTACATAATTTCCTTCATATATTTCTTTATTCGTCTATTCATCTGCACCACCATAATGACTTGTTCTCATTTATTGTCGGAAATGTTGGCTGTTTTATAAATCTTACGAAATAACGTCGCTAATGTGACATGTTGAGTCATTGCGAGTTACCAGCGCTATAACGAAATTAATAATGAACGACTCTCTTCCAGAATCATTTATCTATGATAATAATATTGTTTTCATCAAAACTAGGTCCCTAAACATGCATTTATGATATATTATGCGATACATCATTTCATTACACACACACACACACACACACACACTTACATTACATTCATACATTACATTACATTCATTTTCAATTTTCAACAATATGACAAATTCCGCTAAGTTTTTTTAGTAAAGTATTGAGAATAAAAATACCACGATTCCTGTCTTGACAAGTAGCTAAGTATGTACTAAAGTTGACAGACTCCATGCAACAACTTTATTTTGCAAATTGTATTTACTCATATGTAAATATAAGCAAAAGTTTTGGATGTATGGATTTCTGTAAATTGTCAACGGTATGTACTAAGCCCTGCATAAGTTGGACAGGTCACAATAAAGTGATACTCTTTCTATGTTACATATCGGACATATTAAATCTTCGTATCGAATATATTCATACATTCCAGTATTTGTGCTAATTGGTAGGACATATTAGCTGACCTAAATACGGCACATAATTGTTGAATATTTAAATATCAATTAAATATTGAAATTTTGATAGATGTTTCCAGTGACTTGTCTAGGCAAGATGGATGCTCCTATTTGATTATTTTAGTACGGAGATCTTATGCCGCTTAAAACACACACACTCTCTCTCTCTCTCTCTCTCTCTCTCTCTCTCTCTCTCTCTCTCTCTCTCTCTCTCTCTCTCTCTCTCTCTCTCTCTCTCTCTCTCTCTCTCTCTCTCGTTTGACGGATAACAAAATGTACGAAGTGCTCGACATACGTTGTGCAAGGCACATTATCCAATGTTTCTGTTAGAGCTATTAGTGATGGGTGCATCGCAACGTGCCCATATTCATTAAGTTAGTGCGAGGACTGTATCATATGATTAAAGAAGTCCTAAATTTAAAAGAAAACTGACAAAGATATTAAAACAAATAAATTTTTAACTTGCGTAGTAAAGTAATTGTATCTTTTCATTGATATGCAGACAGATATTACGACAAATATGTCTGACATTTCAGGTATATTATTATTTACATGTAGGTAGTTGATAGTTTTAAAGTAATTGGCGTTGAACCCTTGAAAGTGCTTTGTCCGTAGAATATGCTACTTTAGCTACTGGGATAATCCGGCACTGCCTCGCTCAGTACAGTTTCGAGGAACATCTTAAAAACAAAAACTTTCTTTTGGAAATAAAGTTAGGAGCATAGTTTCCAAGCGCAATAGTCCCGGTAATGATTATGCAGAATTCAAGAAATAGCATTAATTCTAAATCCCGTTAATATAAAACTAAATTTTGTTACCAATTCAACAATCTTTAGTAAAGAATACTGCAGAAACGGAAACCATGGGTCATAATGATTCTAAACGCCAAAGTGGAACGCTGGACATTAAAATAAACACTGTCACGGTTTCATTAATATAACACTGTCAAGACTAGTTGAAATCCAACTATACTTAGCCAAGACGGGATGACGTACAATTGGGGTTAGGGTGCAGATCTCCAGTAAATGATATCGCGGAAAGCAAGAAAACAAACTATTTGAACATCTTATCAGTATAAAAGTTCGTGGAAATTTTTGTTGAAATCCAAAATTCGGAAGCAAGGTATACTACCGAATAATAGTTTGGACGATGGAGAAATTATGGAGAATGGAAAATTAGTGGTTTGGGCTGCTTTAAGTTCTGTTCTAGGCGTTTATAAAGTAACATGACATATTAGGCTGAAGTCCTCTAAAGTTCTGCGGAAACGAACAAACAGGAAGTTGGTCACTCAAAGGATATAACTCCTATAAAAGATGTGTAAAGCTCAAGATTGAAATTCATTCAAGGTCACATCAAAATGAAACTGCATGCCAAATTTTGGTGAAATCAACCATTCTTGGTAAAATTTGCTGCGGAAACCAAACGCGGGAGGTCGCGTAATCGGAAGCATTATATAATTCTGCGAATGATGTCATAGAATACTGATATCAATCTCATTTAAGTCTCATCACTATAGATCGCTCCGGTAACCTAGTGGTTAGAACGTCCGCCTCGGATGCAGGAGGTCGAGGTTTCGAACCCTGGCTGAGTCATACAAAAACTCAGCATTAAAAAGGTATTGTTAGGACTGGTTGGCCTTGTGTCAGGATAATGTGACTGTGGGACATCCTTTTACATGTATGCGACATCACTATAAACTGCCAGACTACAGACATCGTAACCATATGACTGGAAAAATGTTAAAGATACGGTAAATATCCAAATTACGCACACACACTCAACACTTTATAACTGCATACCAAATTTGGTTCACAGCAACAACTCTTGGTAATTTAAAGCTGCATAAACGAGAGTCAAGAAGAATCAGAGACTTTAGCTGTTTTAAGCGATGGCTTAAAGTTGCAGAAATGTAACACTTTTGAGGTATCAGACATTCTAAAGCTTCATTCTAAAGCTTCATGCATAACATGGTTTAAATTAAATACATTTCAGTAAAGTTATTTGAGGTAACCAAATTGTTGACGGACATACACGCGGGAGGACATTATGATTACTATAGGGCCATGCGTTATAATTATGTGTTGTGTTTTATCATTCGAATTTTATATGCAACATTCCGACTTTAAACTCTAATTACTTATTCACACCTCTTAGTCTCTACTGGAAACAGTATATCATTGTGCTTTCGTTCCAAATTTACTGCTCCGGTGGCCTAGTGGTTAGAGCATCCGCCTCGGATGCGGGAGGTCATGGGTTCGATCCCCGGTCGAGTCATACTAAAGACTTACAAAAATGGTACTGACAGCTGCCTCGCTTGATACTCAGTATTAGGAGGTTAGTGTTAGGAATGGTCGGACAGGTGTCAGGATATTGTGACTGAGTGGGACATCATACTACATATATGTAGCATGATGAACCAGTGCTAGACATCACTATAAACTGCCACACTACAGACGTAGCGAGATGACTGAAAATTGCTACGTTAAAAATCATAACATAATCAAATTGTTCCAAATAATAATATTAATTTTGCCTTTCTTACTGATGTATTGTAATAAAATATATTAACATAGAAAGCAACAATAAGGAAACTCCAATGCAAGGAAAATACATAAAAATGACAAAAATTAAAATGTTTTGTACGAGTAATCATAATTACTTGAACAGACATAAATATGCGCAAATATCATGGTTGGCAACTATTGGCAGTTGACGCTTAGCTATAAACAGAATCTACTAAAAAGAAGTCACGTGATCTTGCAAACTAGCAAGCTAACGATCTGCAAGAGAACGTATAATTTTGAGATTGTGCTTTAGTGTCCTTTTTGCTATTGATTTTTTTTTCGATACCGTGTCTTTATTGGCTATATTGTTCACAACACACACCATTTTAGGGGTTGGCATGTTGCAAGTCGGTGGGTAAATCTTTGCTTCTCTTGCTCTTGTTGTTGACACTGTAGATGATAACTCTATAAGCTTTTATCAGTTGTATAGTTTCTTGTGTGTAGGTTTATTTAAGTCTACCCCCTTCCGCTTTCTTCCATTAACGATAGGGAGAAATACAAACTAGTCTCTGCCTCGACTAGGATCAAGTTATGCATTAAGCGTGATGGTCTGAATAATTGTGTTGTATTTCGATTGAATTCGATGGTTTTACTGAGTGTATATAAAGATGCTTGAATTTGTACATCAGAAGTCCAGAGAGAAGGCAGAATTATGTATCGACATCTTCTATGCAGATTGTCAATATGTATGCAAATGGCAGTAATACACGGTGCTTATTGCTTGAAAAGGGTTAGACTAAAGAATAAATGGTTTGGCCAAGGAAGTATTCCAAGGTGAAAATGTAGGATTCAGAAAACATAGAATTCAAACACAAAGAAACACTAAAATAATAATCTAAATTACGATCTATCACCATATTAATTTTATTGATTTTATCGATGTAGTTTTGTGTGCAGAAAGTTTTTAATTTCAAACAGCAAACTAAAATATGTCATTTTTAGTTATTAACTAACGTATGTTAACATATTAAGTACATGTATTTCTTTGCAAGACTATGATCTTCAGCAAACGTTTTCTGTTTAAATTTTATGTTATGTTTCAAGTCTACGAAATATTTTGTCGTTTCTTGAGTAAGTTTGTTTTCTTTACGCTGGTCCTCTCTGAAAATTATCTTGCTCGGGTGTTAGCACTCCACACGAAGTTTCCCTGCCTATCGAATTAATAGAGTGGCTAGTATAAATTGAAGGATTCATTCTCAGCACGTCCTGATTTTTGGCAACATGCTCTCCCAAAGTTAGCACAAAGTCCTTAACATGCCTTTTGGCAACATGCTCTCCCAAAGTTAGCACAAAGTCCTTAACATGCCTTTTGGCAACATGCTCTCCCAAAGTTAGCACAAAGTCCTTAACATGCCTTTTGGCAACATGTTCTCCCAAAGTTAGCACAAAGTCCTTAACAGGGGGTATTGGCTATAGTGTAAGCTTGAACATCCAAATTTAGTTACAGGGTGTAGACTATAAGTTAGACAGCAATTGCTAACATGTCTTATGTAAGATACCGATCATTTAATGGGGGAGGACTGTGATTTTAATCTAAGCTTATATGTGAGAGATTGATTTTGTTTTACCTCAAAATATTTTCTTCAATTAAATAAGTGATATAATATCGTGCTAGATTTTTTATTAATCATATCATTCTTCCAGCTTTTTAACAAACTTTCGCAGAAAAAAAGGGTCATAACTAACCTGTCAGAGGATATTAAATTGTTTTTCCTAAGATATTTGCGGTAAACCATAGTACGCATATATATATATATATATATATATATATATATATATATATATATATATATATATATATATATATATATATATATATATATATATATTTGTGTGTGTGTGTGTGTGTGTGTGTGTGTGTGTGTGTGTGTGTGTACCGTGAAACAATACTTGTCATCGAATAAATACCCGGAAGATCTTGAGAAAAAAATGATCTGAAGAAAAAAAATCATACAGAGTGACAAAAAATACCCCAGATTACTCCCATGACCTGTTTTGACATGAGAGAGAAGGTAGCTTCCAAAATACTTCGTTTCACCCATGACCTTTGATTTTTTTATTTTTGTTTTTGATTGTTTTTTTTTATTTTTGCTGTTTCCATCTTTAAAGGCACGCATATATCCATTCTTTGATTACAAAAGGTTATACTTCAATAATATACATGCATCAGAGAAATAATTATTTTAATTTGATATATAGGAATCAGTTTAGTATTTTGCATCTGCCACTGTTCAGTAATTAAAGAAGGGAAGTATCGTAGAGTTGCAAACACGGTATATGTAGCTTTTTCACCAGTTTTCACCTGAGTGTAACTTTGTCCCGCAGGCAAAATTCGCGTAATTCGCACGTTTCGGAGCCCGTAACTTCAGTTTGGTGCAACGCAGGAAAGTTAAGTATGGCTTGATAAATATAAAAAAGATATCTCAGGATTAAAACAAGCCATATACTAAGGTTTTGTTCCTTTGACAATGGAAATAACATTAGAAAGCTACTTACCGTCTCTCTCTCTCTCTCTCTCTCTCTCTCTCTCTCTCTCTCTCTCTCTCTCTCTCTCTCTCTCTCTCTCTCTCTCTCTCTCTCTCTCTCATAAAGTATAATAGACAGGGTCCAATGTCAGAACAGGTATTTTTGTAACTGTATGATTTTTCCTTCAGATTATTGTTTTTATTTTTTTGTCGTAAGATCATGCTCGCGTGGAGCACTTGTGGCTAAACGGACATAATAGACCCTCATCTGGTGGTGCATTTTGTAGGCGTGGGTATATGCTACTTAAAACTAAGCGTTATTATATGCCCATGTGATTACAAATTTACCGTATCGCTCACACAACGATTTAGGCCATTTCACTGATGTTCGTTATGTATGAAATCGAACTTGTATAAATTACAATTGGTTTAGATTTCTGTCATAATGGCTAAACACTATTTGGAAAGCGTAAATTTGGGTGTATATAATAAATACACAAATGCATTCTTGTTTTGTTCCTCGTTTGACTGCCTCGATGAATCCTAGCGCCATACAGTGCCGGATTAAGCTAGTGCGAAACTTTTTTTTAGCATATGTTATAAAGGGGCCCTAACTGTAAAAACAAAAACAAAATATAAACAACAAAACACCCCCACCCACCCCCTACAAAACAACCTCCACATAAATATTAAAACAATACATTTTTAACTTGCATAGTAAAGTAATTGTTTTTTTTATCTGCTATACAACAAGATAATATGACAAATATGTCTGACATTTCAGTAGTAGTACAATTTAATGTAAGGAATTGATAGCTTGAAAGCATTTAGTGCCAGGCCCTTGAAAGTGCGGGGCCCTTGAAAACGCGGGGTCTTTGAAAGCGCGGGGCTTTTGAAAGTGCAGGGTTCGTAGCATTGGTCTACTTTTGCTTTTAGGATAATGCGGCATACCAAAATCTGACGCCAGATCAAAATCGTTCCGTCTGCCGACTTGGAACAAAACACGTACGCGCTATATACAGTATTTTAATACCATGTACGGTCCCACTCGACATCACTTTCCTTTTATGAATGCTGTGTAAGGGATATTGAGTAGGTCCTTCTATTTCTAATATCATCCCGCAAACGGACTCAGTCCTAATATGTCCTCTCATAATGCGCCAAACAAAAGGCACACGATGCCACTCGGTAACACGGACTGCGTAGACCGAGGTATGCCCAATACTATCTTAAGGCATAGTTACGAACACATAATCCAAATCTGGCAAATAATAATGTCGTGTTTGTATGACAATAATTTTAAGCAATAATTACAAATGCAGATCATCATAAATGAACATAAAAATGTTACCTATTGTGTACTTGAAACATCTATGATAAACAGTTGCATAATCAAGGGTGGTGGGTGGTGCTGAGACTAAATATAGCTCTGTCAGTTCGTTTTTGCAATTGATTGCCGGAGTTACACAGGAGGTGTGTCTGCCTCTGAACACCTGTATCTAATATTGATTACTTGTTTCTTAACATTGTAGGTAATTGGCAATGGTGCCGTTGTAGCAGCAACACTGTAAAGACATAGCAGCACGAAGGTGGCTGGCGAAAGGCAAGTATTTGTTTTTATATATAACGGTGTTCATAGTTTTGTGATTAGATAATATATTCTTCTTCTTTTAAAATGTCATTGTTATGTGAAAAATGGGCACATCTTCATTAGGTGACAAGAATATGATAAATGAGATCGGTCTTAGACTAAGACTAATTTCCTCCATAACATTTTCTACATTTGAAGATAATTGTAAAATAAATAATATTAACTGAAATAAACTCTATTTCCAGGAATAATGTGGATAACTGAATGTTGTTCCTTTTCTGGTTTTAAACAACATTGAGATTTCTGTAAATGACATTGAAAATGCATAACTAGTGCCTAACTGCAGCGATATACAAGCCAGTAACATGTACCATTCTTCGAATTGTAGAGGGGTTTTTTTTCTTCTCCAAGTTCAGGATTATTATCATAAGAAATGGATTAAAGACGTTGTATTTTTCCAATATTACAAATAAAAATTTTTAAGGATCACATATTGTTTTACTAAATGTATATGTTTGTTGTTTCTATTTTATTGGTTATATGATATGCTTTACTGATACGTTGTGATGATTGTATACGCATTACTGATGTGTTGATTACATGACCTGCTTTACTGAAACCACTATAGCCATTAATATCCGTTGTACAGGAATC